ATATATTTGAATTTAAAAATATTTCATTTTCCCTTGCTTTTTATACAAAACTCCAGAAATATAGAACCTGAAAGAATTGTTTGCACCCGCGGCTAAGCCATAAGTCAACCACGGTTGCGGTTACCATCGAGGCCTAGTTTCTCCTAAGTGTCATCCATAGTTGGCTCACGTAGGGGAACGAAAAATATTTCTCTTCCTCTCCGAAAATGTGGCTGGGTTTGCATCAGAAGTTGGAAGTAGAGATTTTGACAGGTATAAAACATCACCTTGTTGGTAGTGGTCCTTTTTAATAGTGTTTAACACAGGGGGAATAAAAATCTGTTCGAGAACTTATGCGATCGTTTCGTCATTTGTTTTGTTGCCATACGAAAGGAAGGGAATACACAACTCGCCTGCCGAGAAAATGGAATTTGACATATTTCTTCATTGACAATGGTAGATCTTTAGCTGGTGAAGTACGCTGGTTTCTGTCAAACTTAAATAAATGAACCATAGAAGGTAAAGTAAGCTGGCCACTATACATCTTACATAAGTGAGCAAAAAATAGCTTTCGTTTAGCAATACTAATTAAGCGTATAAAAGCAAGAGAAATTCATTTGTGGAAATCTTGCCTTCCAGATGAATCTGCCTTGAATTTTCGCATAACTAAGCTAATTAAGCTTTCTTTCCTTATTAAATCAAAATTCCTTGAGAAAGTTATGCTCTGCTTTAACAAGAATATTTAGGGTTGCATTTTTGGACATTTGCACCATTACTGTAAATGATAAAAGATGTTTCTAATGCCATACTTTATGTACCTCATTACAGAGTAATCTTTACTTTTTTGTCATTTTTCCCAGTTTGTGAGTTTATACATCTTTCAAACATTACACAGAGTTTCTGAAAAAATACCACATATTTCTTTTCTACAAACGCCAGTTCATTTTTGCCTTCTTTATTATTTTTTGCAGTATTTGAATGTAGTTTATGATTCATAAAACTTTAACATCTCATAAATTATATATTTAAATCTTTATTTCTTAGTTTCTTAATTATTAATTTATTTTATTTTATTTTTTCATAATTTTGAGACGAAATTAATCAAAATTTTGTTGATAATATTATTTCTTGTTTTATTTTATTTTTACATTCCCTTTACTGAAATGTTTACTTTTATTGGAGAGAAATGTTCTGAAAAGAGACTTTTGTTATTTTCAAACAGTTCTTCGAAAACAACCTCCGACAGTTTTTATTGCATTCCAATTTCAAACGGATCTGTATCACAGTGGATTTATTTTCGTGACAAATATTAAAGAGTTATATTGTCTAATTCTGAGCAAGACCACAATCTGCATGAAGCATCTTTAAAGGATCTCTATTTTTGGAATTTGATTTTACGCTTTTAAAATCTCATCGCGCTGAAATTAATAGAGCAGGAAAGCGTGGGTAGAAGTCGTATAAAATCTCACTTAATTAGGCGCCCTCAGCCAAAGGCATGCGTATTAAATATCCCTTAATGAAACTCAGTTTCGCTTTCCACTGTGGTAAGTTGTTCACTTCTTTTATTTACTATGAGTGAAGTGAGATCGCAGATTTCGAAAGCAAGTCGAAATCTTGATCGACACTGTATTTAAAAGTATTACTATTCAATTAACAAAATCCGAGTAACTGCGGCAAATGTAAGAAAAACATTTGTTGTTTTTAATATGCTTCACACACATTTCTTACATTTCCGATTTAAGAAAAACATGTATTTCTACAGGGTGTCCCACTCGAAAGGGGTCCCGGGTAAAGTGTGATAAAAATCTTACAACAAGATGAAATGAAACCAAATTTTTATACGGCATGCCTTTATTTTAGAGAAATGAAAGTACATTACAAGAAGTGCCGGAAGGGATCCTCTCCCTGTGTACACAATTCAACACGGCGTTGCATTTTCGTGTATGCTGCTGTCAGAGTACACGTGGTACAGTGATGAAGCGTGGTTCCAATTGTCATGATACCTAAACTAACTAAACACACGTTTATGGAGTAGTGGCGCTCATCATACTGTCGAGGAACCCCTTCATTTACAGAAGATGGGTGTGTTCTGTGTATTTTCATAGCGGACCATCATCGGGCCAATTCGTTTGAGACTACTGTCACCAGTGCCCCCATTACTGCTGACGACACTACTGTCACCAATGAAGTGTACCAGACACTTTTTCCTGAATCTGTGAGCCAGTTGGAGGATGTGGAGCTGACACTTGGCTGGTATCAGCAAAATGGGGCAATGTGTCACACATCTATAGCGAGTATGACTGCTGTAGAGTCTTTTTTCAAGATTGACCCACCTTGGTCTATATGGCGTCGCTTTAAAGGTAATACCTATAAGCGCAAACCACGTACCATCGACGAGTTATGTCAGAACATTCGTCGTGAAATCTAGGACGTAATGCCCCTGCGCCCAGTACTCAGGGAGCAGCATACGCGAACATGCAGTGCCGTGTTGAACTCTGTGTATAGGTGGGGAGAGATCACTTCCAACTCCTCTTGAAATGCACTTTCATTTTTCAAACATAAAGGTATGTCATGTAAATGTTTGGTTTAATTTCCTCTTGTAAGATTTTTATCACACTTTTTCCGGGGCCCCTTTCGAGTGGGACAGTCTGTATGTAGTAAAAGCCTTATTATCGCCTAAGTCCACAGAAACGGACTTAGATTTTTGGCTATCCTAAAATTCTCCTGTATATTCTTCAGTATATGAAATCCTATTATTAAAGTAGAATGATTGAATCTTAGCTTAGATACTAAAAAATTCAATAGAGCGAATGAAAACAATCATTTTCGAATTGAAAGTTACAGCTGCAAAACATCTCATCAATTTATCCAATTCAGTTCATATTTAAACTTACTTTCACATTTTAGTGTTTTTTAACGGTTTATAAAATTAGATAAAATTCGCATTCATAGCCAACTTTATAGTAACATTATTTATTACATAGCTAAAAGATAACATTTAAGAATAAAATTGGCATTATTATAATAACATTTTCGTTTACTGGTTACTTACAGATTACATTGAATCCGAACAGATACTAAACAAATTAAAAACCAAAAAGCTAGTAAATTTTCACATAAACATTGCACACTTGACATTAAATAGTTTCTTCCTATTAATTTATCGTTTTTTTTTTTTTTTTTTTTTTTTTTTTGCTGCAGGAATTCTACAGTTATGTTTAATGTTTCATCTTTTTAAACCTTTCAACCATCGATATCGGGTCACAAAGCAGTGTCACAGACGGCGGAGCTTCGGGAGATTTTTTGCCCGATAGGCACATCCGCACCTGATTTAGTATGTCCAACCGTGGCCTTCGAGATAACAATAATCTCGAAGGCCACGGTCCAACCCGCAATAGAAGATCCGTCGCTCGAACCCATGCCACAGCAGCTGAATTACCGTTTTTCATGATTTTAAAACTCCTATGTATTTATACGTATACACCTGTACAGTGTATATATAAAATTATTTTCTCGATCCGCAGCCATAACATATGAATTTTTGAATTGCCAATAAAATGATGGCACCGCTAAAAATACGTCTTCTGTTTAATTTCCTTATCTTTATAGCTGGTTAGGTGACAGAATGTAAGCAATTATTTTCATGATTTGGAAAAATACGTCTGAAAAGGGGAAAAAAATCATTAAAAAGCTGAAATAAATAATTTCGATAGTAAGAAGTCTTCTAATTAATTTTAATACAAATTAATTAAGGACAAAGTGATTATTTTCAATTAAGCGAGACTTTAGTCATAAATAAATAAATAAAAACAGATTAACTGAAAGGAACGAAATAAAACTCAAAATTCTAATTCAAGAGGGCTTTAATAAGCTGAATATCCACTACTCAAGCTTCAACTTTTTAGAATTTTTCTCTTTATGATTAATTGTTCGAGTATGTATGTACGCTATTTCTCTAAATAAGAATATTCTATTATACCCTTAAAAAATCAATCCGGAGTTAATTTTAAATAATATTATTTTTTTATTATGTAACATTAACATATAGAAAACAATAAACAGAAAACGGAATTACATAAAATAGTTCAAAGTTTAGGCCGTGAGTTCAACAATAACAGCTCACTTGTGCAGCTCGCGTGCGTTGAACTGAGCATTTTCTCTATATCGTGGGTAGAGGGCGTTGCCGACGATATTCATTTATCACAACATTAATTTTCAAGATCAAATATCTATCTTAAGTATTGTTACTTTTTATTCAACACCAGAGTGCTTTTAAATATGGAATTCTTAAGCAAAAATTATTATATAAAATTGCATACAGTTTGACTGTAGTTTGTTGAGGATTACAGAAACCATAATTCTTGAAACTCAATTGAGCGGATTCGCAATTACTAGAAAAAATTTAATATGTCAAAATTGTAAAAGACCTATGTAACATTTTATAAAATTGCAAAAATTTTGTAATGGAAAAAATAATGAAATATATTAATTTATTTAATTTGTTTAATTATGGCAAAGTACTTGAGGACTATATGTCTAAGGGAAAGGATACCTTAGTGAAAGAGCATTCTAAAGAACACTAACTTGTATCTACATTACACATGAAAATAACGAAGAACGAAGAAAAGATCTATGTAGCCAGTCTTTGTTCGCGGGATTTGAACTTAAATCACACCCCTAGTGTTTACTTAACTTTAACATTCTTCTAAAATGAGTGACATCAATTTGAAATCAGAAAAAAACAAAACGAGAGGAAGTCGAGTGTAGAAAATTACATCATTTCTTCGCTCAAAGTTTTGTAATGTAAGATTAGTACAAGCTCATTCGGCTTAGTGTAAGTGACAGAGGGAAAATCAGTGGTTTGAATTCCGGAAGGGTTACAATCGATTTTTCACGTTTCCGGTCACGAAATGTCTAAAAGTCTCTATTATAGAGCCCAGACTTTAGGCAAAATGATATCTGTCATCCCTTGGATATAGTTAAATGAGTATCGTGTCTTGATCTGGGAATAATTTTTCCCCGCACGAGTTGTCATAGTGCAAAATGTTAGCGCATCCAGCTAGCTGTGGTTCGAATATACGTGGCTCGAATCTTGGTAAGAGCACAATTATTTTTTCGTATTTCTTGTTTCATAATTAGGGAAAACAAGTTATTTCATTACTTTTTCTTGCCATTAATGCGCTGAACTAGCACATATGCATATGTCTTCAGCGCATGATAGTGGCGAGATGAAATCTTTCAAAAATGTTGTGCATACTGAAAAGGTAAACACTAACTTGTATATCATGTCATGGCTGGACGTCTTGTTAGGAAAATAAATGTAGCAGGGCAACATTTAATATATATGACTTATAATGGCAAATTCTACGTGGAAATTTGATTTATAAAAATAAGTTAATTTTTTATTTTTGTGTGCGATATGAAATTAAACGATATTAGACTTTAGGATGTTAATTATAGTATTGATGTATGCAGTAGAGAATTTTAAATAAAAGAATTTTTTTTAGTTTCATGCAATAATTTTGATGACCCTAATAATGAAATATTATAGTCAGTTTGCAAGGAATTTTGCTAGCTAATATTTTTTCTATATATACTATCTGAATAAAAATAAAATTTCTAAACCATTAAAACTATTGGAAATCAGCGAGCTTTCGCAATAATCTATGTTTATATGTGAAAGATACAATTTCGACACAATATCTCAGTGTGTTGGCCTGACGAATGAAGTTTAATATATTTTTGTATTCTTCTGGTTAATTCTTTGCCCTAAAATATAATCCCATATTATTAGAGGAGTCAAAGCAACAATAAACTGGTTTCGAAGATTTAAATATAGAACCGACTTCTTCAGCTGCAGAAGTGCAAATGACGAAAGAGATGTCATTGATAAGACAAGGCGACAAGAAAGAGGGGAAGGAAGTCAAACTACTTTAGTCAAACTACTAGTCAAACTACTGGCGCCATTTATAGATGAAAAAATGAAAACAACTATGAAATAATTCCCTTAAAAGCTGAGGTTAGAGACATTGAAAATGAGACCTTTAAAACTGAAATATTTTTAAGAATATAAAACGCCTTTAAAATAGCTAGTTCGCCAACTTTTTGGTTTGAAAACAGAGGATTTATGGGTTTCCTCTTTTCCTCACATAGTATGTCTCCTATTCCTTAACGCGAAATATTAAAGCTCAGATAGAGGCTTTTTACCTAACATTATTGACCAAGCGGTTAATAATTTCTCATCTCAAAACATCAAAAAGCACTTTTTCATTTTAAGAAATTATAAAAATTCTGTTGCCATTTTCTTTCTTTCCATCAATTAGCTATAAAATTGCGCGCATTTTTAAAAATTCAACTTCTGCGTCGTATTTCCTTCTGTCAATGCGCAGTTTCATACTTAAGGACCCACATTCCAGATAAAAACTTCTAGAGTATGTGCAGGATTCCTTTTCAGTGCGCTTTAATTTACATTGGTCAAACTAACAGAAACTTAAAACTTCCTGCTAAGGAACATGTTCGAAAGAATGCGTTCTTTTATGGCGATTTTTAGCAAAATTAACTAAAGCGCTCAAAAATAAGGATTACTACATATTTTTGATATATCTATACAGTATGCCTGCACTTGTCAACATACCTGCTCACAATTTCATCTTATTAACATTTTATTTAATATTTTAAGCTCTGGGCCTTGAATTAAATGCTGGTTGGTACACATTTTCTTCTTGGATACGGTTCGATATATTTGCTTTTTAAGATTAGTGTGTCCTTGAAATTTGATCTCGGAGAGTGGATAAATACAAATCAAAATATCAGATCTCAAACTATCCACAATAATTCATAATCAAAACACCTTATATGGATGCCATTCCAGCGGCATCTTCTAACGAGGCAACCGTGATGGATGTTCCAGTTCTCATTCAACGTCACGCGATCCCGCTGGATCTCAGTTTCATTCATCCACTTTCGTAGTACAATTTGGATAAATGTTGAAAAAAAGAAGATATATAATTGTATTTTTTAATGTAGACGACAACGATATCTATTTCGAAGACTTTTTCAGAGGCTTTTCGCAGTTAATTGGATGACTCTGACGCAGATGGGTTCAGAAGTATTTACGACCTTGTGGCGTCATGTGCAATCGCACTTGCGATAGATAAGATGCGAAATTTTTTTATACATCATAGTAGGTTAGTGACATATTTCTGTGACCCTACGAAAGCAAATAGGCAAATTAGTTTCAAATTAAATAGGGTAAGACGGACTTTGACATTGAAAAGATATAACTAGCATACTAATCTAGCAGCCACGAACTTTAACGGCACACGACATTCAGATATTTAATGGTATTTTAATATTCCTT